TTTGCTAAATTATATAGTTATAAAAAAATATTATAATACAGATTTTTAGTTAGATAAAATTGAAAATCTCATCTTAAAAAAACTAGATAAAAGAATCAAATATTTTATCAAAATAATTGTTTTCATCTAATAAATTACATTAGAATATCAAATATTAAGTCAAAAAAATAATAATTTAAAAAAGAATCTAATTATAAAGCAAGAATACATTAATTTTATAAACAACTTTTATAAAAAGAGATACTTACTTCCAATCAATTATTTGTAGTCTAATTCTACTCATTTAAAAATAAATAAAGAAAAAATATAAAAATGCGAAGATATTAAAAAAATATGTGCCAACTGTTCTTTTAAGCACCACATATAAGATATTTAAGAAAAACATTACAACACAAGTTCCAACATACTCTTGCGGATTCAATGAATAAAATCCAACCAACATTCTTTTAATTACAACCCACTTACATAATATAATAATAGCTCATAGGGCCACCTAGTAGACAATCAAATCTAAGCATAATATGTTTATTTTTAAATTTTATATTCTTAAAGTATATAATAGCATTTTATAGGAGTTTCTTTCAAGGCAAAAGTAGTTTTTGGGTTTTAAATCCTAATCTATCAAAATAACTAGATTACCTTTTAATGTAGTGAAGATAGTAGTAAACATAAGCTAAAATATTTATTTGAGATTTATTTTCCAGTAAGGATTTAGACAAAGATATTCATTGGTATCTTATTGATTCATTATTACTTAGGATGGACTTCAATTTAATTATTAAGCTATTCAATGCTTCTCAATTATTAAATATTTTAATCCATTAAGGAATAAAATAACTGATCATTGATTTTAATTAAAGTGAAAAGAAAAAGGAAAAGAAACAAAACACATATCATCTCAAATATAATTAAGATCTTCTTAGTATCACTTGATTTAAACATAAAGTGTTTATTACTTCCATCTTGTCTTATATTTTACAATCTAGATTTTAATCTAATTAGGTGGTTTGGTTCTTAGTTAGGTTGAATATTTCCAATCTGCCTTTGGCTCATTTTTCCATGCTTTTCCTATTATGTGGATCCTATTAATTGTGGGCTTTTCTATTGTTTGAATCCTATTGGTTGGGATCTACTGCCAAGTTAATTGGGTTGGCAATTAAATTCTAAAAAATATATATATTGGTAAATTACTTAACTCAATTGAAGATGTAGACTTGTAATTATAAATTATATGTATTTGAAATCCACAATACATTTTATTATGGTGTAAATTTGTTTTTAAAATAATATCAACAATTTGTAGAAATAACTAAAAATAGTTTTAAAAAAATAAAGAGAGTAGATTAGAAACTAAGATTGATTGGAAAATAATTAGTCAAAGTATGTATTAAATATAATTTTAACACTCTAGCAATAAAATGGTTATTAAAAGCAAATATATTAAGATAATCTAATTTTATTAAAATTCTTATATATTTTGTCTAATAAGTTTACATCTTTAAAGATATAAAAATATGGTGTTTAGATATTCAACGAATAATAAAATCTTTTTCAAAACTATTTATAATCCCTAAGATTTATAAAAAAAAAAGAAAAAAAGAAAAAAAGAAGCAAAACATGGATAAAAAAGAGATAGAAATTATACATAAATTTCCAACAACAAAATATTTATTACTAAATTTATTATAATAGAGCACATGCATTCTTTAATTAATTATATTTTTTATTTTACGATTATTTTCTAATAATTTTATGATTTGCAAATTAGACAAATCAAAGACCTTTGGTATTTTGAACTTTCTTTATTACACAATAGTATTTGCTAATATTCAACTTTAAAAGCTCTTTAAAAAAAATTGGAAGGTATGACAATGACATGTCTTTTTACAAGTGATTTATATAATAGCATATATATATATATATATATATATATATAATGCGTGAAGACACTCACATCGATTAGAAAATATGTTTTGATGTATATCTAATGTTCTGAAAGATGGAAGAATGGGGAGGACCTCAAACAATAAAGGTGGTTCATCCAATCATATATGTACTAATCTGTATATAAATAAAAGATTGAAACAATTTTTTATAGGCAAGAAAGTACAAACTGATATAATATAATGCTAGATGAAACAAACATTTATTATTAAAATGCATTTTCTGTATTCAATTGTATATGGCCAAATAGAATAAAATTCAATATCAATATGTTCTTTTGAATTGAAAATCACTTAAAAAATAAATCCAAGAATAAATTTGTAATGTTTTGGCTAATTGAACATAAAAGAACTGTTGTTAACATATGGAAAACCGAATATGTAGTAATACAACCAATTAGTGCAATCTTAGCCACACATCAATGGTGGAAATTTTGAAGAATAAATTTTAGGAGTGTTTCTCAATTCTATCAATAAACATAATGTACTAGCTTATTTTAAAATAAAAAATATATATGAAACATAGAATGTTTTTATCATATAACAAACAATAATCACATCAACCTAAGGATTTGCAACTATTGTAAATATTATTTGTAGATATTTGCATCAAATACATATAAAAACAAATTACTGATGTAATATTATAAACAATTAATAAGGAGCGTAGAAAAAATGGATAAAGTAATTTTCACATAGACTGATTGAACACAATAAGATAATTGGTATACAACATCAAAACAAATTTAAAAACGCTGACATGAAACCTCGAGTAAGAACAAAGGTGAAACTCTTATACCTTCTGCTATTTCTTAAGAAATCAATTCCAATCCATGAAAATTTTCTATTCTTCCAACTAAATAAGTATCCACTCTCTTCTATTCAAAAATAAAATTAACGAATTAAATAAAAAATTATAAAAAAATTATATTATATATACAGAAAAAATAATCATACTCATTAAGTTAAGATTTCAACATTAGATTTGAAAACTCGTTCTATGAACTTGTGTTAGAAAGGGAATGAGACTGTCTTGTCAAGAGATATATATACTTCTCTTCGTAGCATTTCCTTTAAATACAATGTCCAAATTCTTATGGCCAAATTCTTTTACCCTACTCTTAATGCACAATTTCTATTAATCTATCTAATTGTAGGTACATTTTCTAAATAAAACATGATCCCATTCTTAAGTTGTGTTGATGTACTTGAAATCACATTCCAATTGATATTCATGGGATCAATATTCACAGATCTGTGCAACAGTATAGTAAAATGGATGTGTATGTACATATATATGATAATGTGTGCTTAAGCACATGTTAAAAATTCAACATATCAAATGAATTGAGAACATGTTTTTATATTTAAGTTGATATTATTTAAGAATATATACAACATAAATAATTTCGTTTTTGTATAAACCATTACGAAATTTTATTGTTATTGATTTTTAATACTATATTTTTTTGGTCAAAATCTACTTTCATATTTTAAACATATATGTTGATTTTTGTTATAAATATTTCTTTTACCAATTCATAATTACTATTAAAAAATGGATATATGTTTCACATAAAGTTTAATGACACAATTGACAATGTGTGTTTTAAAAACAGTAATTCATTTCTTGATAATGAATCAATATAATGATATTTTCTTTTAGTGTTATATAAATTTTATTGTACAAATAACATAATTCAATATGAAAATTTTAAATTTTCCTGTTTTATAGTGTGCAAAAATATACACAATTTTAATATAAACCAAATAAAAATGAATACATAAAATACATGATCTATAACATATTGTTTCAAGTTTTGTAAAAAATTAAATTAGTAATAATATAAAATTATAGTAATATTCATTTTAAACATGTTTGAATATGTTCTTGGTATATTCAACACATATTACATTAATTAATTTTTTCCTAAATCAATATGTTTTTAAAATATAGTCATATAACATAAAAACTACTAAAGTCTATTCATGAAATAAATAAATTGAATACAAATAAATTATAATATATATACACACACACACACTTTTAATCAATTATTTTAAAAAAATTAAGCGATAATTTCAGGTGAGCAGTTATCATTGACAGGTAAGATGGATACAACCAAGAATAGCAACCAGGTAGAACAGCTACGATGGATACAACCAAGAGTAGCAAGGTGGTGCGAGCAACATTGTTTTAGTTACAGCATGTTAGAAACAATGACATATAATAGTATATGATGCATATGAAATATAATAGTAGAAACAATGACATGTAATAGCGTAAACAACTAATTATTATTTAAGTAGTTATGATTACACAGATAAGTACCCAATTATTTTGATATTGTTTGAAGTAAAATATGTCTAAAAAATATGATCAGTATAAAACACACGCAACAAAAGCGTCGTAATCATGCGCGAATTACGCAAAAGAACATGGATTCTTATATTAACATGGACTACGGATCGACATTCATTAAACTTCATTATAAATTCTTCATAACAATTAAATGTCCTAAATAATTTACGTCCGTTTCATTATGATGTACACGAGGGCATGATTAGTTATAAATGTTATGATATTATCACAACAAAACTGGATTAGAATACAACTTTTTCCATGTGAAGACATTGACTTGGACGCTCTTTGTCAGTGTTAGAATGTAAATTTCTTTTTTAATAAATGTTTGATGTTTCTGCACGTGTACTTTTGTCAAAAATGGCCCCTATCTTTACACATTGAAAACTGCATTGAAGAAATCCGTAGGGTGGGTGCCATTGAAACTGGTACTGAGAATAGCAACTTCAATGCACTACGATTCCTGAGTTAAGGGGTGAAACAAAACTTGACGCTCCAGCTTAGCTGTTTGCACATTCGTAGGCTCAGAAGCTTCGATTTAACAACACTAATACTAATCCAGAAGCTGGGCTTGACAGTTCCGTATTATCTTTCCTAGATAACAAACGTGTGGATAATCTCCTTGGGCACGTCATCACAATATTCATTAGTGGTGATCTTTCGTTTGCCACTTCAGAAAGAAAAAAAATCCAACAAACAAAAAACTAGTTCCGTATGGCTCGCATTAAATTTATGCTAGAAATCATTGCTGGGTACTGAGAAAAACGCCTCCTTTCAGAAATATTGCGACTGCGACTGGAGAATTAACTCCAACCAAAAGTACTCCGCTCAAGGAATTTTCAAAAGGAAACTCAAAAAACGGCGCTAACATTTACACGAAACAAAACTGGTGTCTAGAAAGTTGCTTCATGTAGCGTAGATTGCGGTAGTTGCAACAAGACTAGGATATCAAACTACTGTACCCCGTCCCAATCAAGTGAGAACTGATTAGAAATGGACTGCTTCATGAGAGTGATATGTGCTCATTCTTCTGGTGTACAGTACTGTACGTTTGACGGGAAATAGACAGCACCTGTCCGTGAGCTTCCAAGATGTTAAATTTCATGGGCTTCAGTAGAATCAACCCAGCAAGAGAATTCTGTAGATAAGAATTTATATCTGACACGATCTTAGGTACTTGCTGCTTCACATCTTTAGTCTTCAATTTTATTTTTTTGCAACTAGTATGGTGTAACAACAATTTCATCTTCAAAAGCTTAAGGAAGGCACTTCTGTGTTCACTAAGCGGCCCAGTGTGACCACCGCAAGAGCTGTTACCTCCGCCATGAACGTTAGTGAAGGCACAACAGTGATTTTTGTGACCAAAATGATGAATGAGCTTAAAATTTCTTTCAAGTTTTCCTTTGTGCCGATGTGAAAGTCCCAGAGGAAGAATCTTGGCTAGGACATGGCTGCTCCAAAATATAGACTAGCTCTCAGAACTCAGTGGGTGAGTTCTAGAAAGTGTATTAAATCAAGATCCTTGTGTTTCTGAAAGGATTGTCGAAGAGAGCTATCTGCTTCGAAGTATCGAAAGATCCTGGATGAGGAAAATCTGAACACTTATTTGAGAAGCCCGCCTCTCGATCAACTTGCTTACCTTTGGATTGAGGTTAAGAGAATTGATTTTGCAAGTCCAGTAAAAATAGCTGGTCCTAAATAACGATCCGGCTTACAAAGACAAAAAGAGTCTTCTTCAAGGCCACATAGCAAGTGAGTGGGAGTCTATGTCCTTCTCCAAGTCTCGGACAGCAGCTCCAACTTCGCTGGACAATGTAGGCCTTCTGCAAATGGCAGTGAATTTGCTAATACATCTATCACGTGGGATTCTGCTCGGAAACAGAGGATTTCTTCCACATCATGTAATAATATAGAGTGCAAACTAGCAACAGATTCCCGTCGTCACCATAATTGTTCATCCAAAACCTCGCCTACTAATACATCAACATCACAAGGGAAATTCCGGTCTGCTGCATATATGAAGCGAGTCCATGTGGTCACATTGAATATTCAGCACAAGAGTTACCGAAGAAGAGAAAGAATTTTCGTTAATGCTCCAGTTGACAGACCTGTGAGTAACAGATAACAGGACTGGTAAGGATTTGCAACACATACAACTGACTCTGTTTGTCCAAATATTACATAATACAGAAGCAGTAAAATCGGTCCGTTGCCGATCGAAAAACACACAGCAACTAGCTCCTCAACCTGAAAATTCGAGACTTGAATTAATGAAACGGTCACTTCTCTCACTATCAGATCAAGATATTCATTTTCAACACGTCTTTATAAACACAGAGTGACACCCCAGAGTTACCCGAAGTCGAAATTCACCAGATACGGGGGCATTGTGTCAAATGTAAACAACGAAACACTTCAATTTGAGCGGTACAATTTATCAGCCAACACCTCGTTGTAGCAAAGAGATTCTGCAGGAAACGTCAGTTGAGGTCCTGGAACAGAGCAAAAATATCTAACCCAGACATGCACAGCCCAACGCTGTAAAGGGTGCGAGTTGTTCCCTTTTCGCACCCTCAGCATCTCGCAATAAAACTACGTCTTTTCTTCAAAATTACCCTCAGCTTTTATGACATCACATACATCAATGAGGTCTTTGTACCCTACAATTATGGCAAGCCAGTCACTCCCCTCTAGATTCGAACTCTCTTTCAGGAATGTCTGTATGTGTAATGACACATTCTCAAAACTATCACATGCATGAAACTGAGTGGAAATATTGTCCATCGTGACAAAGTAGTTGAGATCGATCAGGCGTGCCTTCCCCATCACTAATCGCTAGCATACATCGTGCACAACTTTGCCTTGGTAACTACAAACTAATACTATGCCTGCAAGCCATCGGACCACGCTAGGGTTACGTCAAGATGTACCAGGATCTCCAAATGTGTTGTGAGCGTGCTCACATCCTGGCAATGCTTCTCCTCCGCCTCGGACTTCATCGCGGAACCTCATCCAACGCAGAAACTGTAAAACTCCTGGTGGCTACTCGTCGTCACCCGGTCGCTCAATCCACCTTCTCCATGCGGCGCGTTGCAAGCCCTCACCCCCTCAAAAGAACGCAGACATGAAACCACTAGGATCCGCTGACCAAGCTACGCCAGTACAGTGTCGTCACTGGCCAGTCACTTAAGCAGCGTGCAAGCATTGCGATGGTTGTTCACTTCTGCTGCGGCAAAGGGCGCATCCTCTACTTCCATGTTGTAGCAAACGTGCACCGAGGCAACATCGCCATGGGCCTCGCCCGGCACACGCAGAAACAGGTTCATTCCTCTCTGTTCAAGTCGCCGTCGGAGTGCTCTCGCTCTTGCTCAATGCCTCCTCCTGAGAATTCGTTCGCACGTCTCTCTGAAGAGCCTTAAGAAGAGGAGGCTTCACTCGTGTCGGATCCACCATCGCCGCCACAATGCCACGCGCATAAGCGGAGCTTCCGTTTGGATCTGGCAGCATCTGCGACAACAAAAACAGGCATGGAATGTCGGCGTACCCGTTTCTTCGAAGCTCGTGTGGAATGAATCCTGTCTTTACCCTCTGCATTGATTCTCATCCACGAAGAATGGACTAATCATCCACATTTCATTCTATCTTCGTCCATTATCTCCTTCTTTTCGTTCGTTCGATGAAATTATGATATGAGACATGGATGTTCTAATTTTATGAACAGATTTGATAGTTTTTTTTTATTGTTAACATGCAGTCTATTTTTATGGGTAGACTCTTTACTTTAATGTTTTCAAGAATTTAAAGAAATATGCCTTTTTCTTTTTTTTTGAAAACTAGCTTTTACGTCACACAATTTTAAATTCTTCTAAATTGCGAAATATAACCTAAAAAAAAACCATAGATTTATATATACCGTCTTCTAGTTATTTAAGCCGAAATTTTGAATCAAATGTTTCGGAATAATTTATTTACTGTTCATAGCTTTTTACTTGCTAAAGACTACATGTTTGCACGATTATACTTTCATAGATACTTTCTTTTCTTTTCTTTTCTTTTTTTCTTTTTTTGGTAGTGTGTCTATCATATTCTGTTTGAAAGGTTAGATTTGTGATACTGAAAAAGGATACCCTTTGTGGGATGTTTTAGAAAATAAGTATAAAAAAGATGTGGTCTGAAAGATCACCTTTCAGAATGTGATAATTTTATTTTTCATTTATCTATATCTATTTATTTATTTACAGAATCAAAAAACCAACATTTAAGAATAATTTCCAACCAAAGAATTATTCTACACAATTGTCTTCAGACTGATTTGTAACACAGAAAGATCTTTGGACCCATCAAATGACATGAAGGTCCCTATTGATTTGAAACCTCACACTCTAAGCAAACAAAGTCATGAAAACAACTGGGTCCATTCTGAACTTTTCCAGTGATGGGTTTTCATAATCCAATGCATGGCATGACTTGTTCATGCCATGCAAACATTTGGGGACAAATTGGGGAATCAGTCACTTTGACACTTCAATACATGTATCTGATTGTTCAATTGGGCTCTTCAAAATGGGGCACAGCCCTGCACATACCCAATGTTTGAATTTCATTGGGTAGTGGTCGGTGCCGTCCTTTTTGCCATCATGACAAAGTCCAAACTATGAATAGAATGTAAAAATAAATAAATAAATAAACAAATAAGCAATAACGAAATTGTGATAGGACCTATTGGAAAGTTGTAAATCATTATGATGTCAACTCATATTTGGAGAGAAGTAAGAAATTTGAACAATAAAGGATGATAGAATGTGGGTATCTACATGGACAATGATTTGGGTAATGTAGGTTTGGTTATGTTTGGAAGAGCTTTTGATTTAGGTTATCTAAGAAGCTCTTTCTTTCTGTATATATATATAAACTCATATCCTATTTAGTAACAATTTGTGCCATGGAACACAAAAAGAGTTTGTTAAATTTCCAATTAACCAACTATTTCAACAACAATTCATGTGAACTTCATGTGAGTTTTAATTACCGCTATTTTTTATTTTATTTTTACAGGGACTCTTCATATGAACTCCAATTGATATCCTATTTGAGAATTTGAGAATTTGAGAATTAAAAAAAAGAATCATGAACAATGAGAGGGCTTTTGAGAATCCCTCACCCCTCGCCACTTACATTCACGTCCATGTGTAAGTAAGTCAATATAACGGCGTGCACCAAAGAGCGCTTTACAAACATGACCTAACATCTTGCAATTTTCTGCAGAAGAAAACAGTTCACAACGAGGAATTCTGTGCGCGTGGCCAAAACTTCACACTCTAGGCTGCTCCGAAGGAACCGCGAACGGCCGCATGGTCACACGAAGCCGACGTTCAATTGAAATGAGGGAAAAAATAAACCGCGCTGCTAACGGCGAATCGAACGTTCGATATCGCGGCGCCTCGAGTCGGGGGGAGGGGGAGGGGCCCGCCCGTGCCCAGGGGCGGGTACCCGGCCACCCACCCGCGCCTCCGTCTCTCTCTTCTCTCTTCTCTGTGTGTCGTCTCCCTGCTGCTGCGTGCCTCTGGTAAGTAGCCTCTCTCTCCTTCGCAGCGAAGGACTTCATGATCATCTGCAGCCCCCCGCCCGCCCCTCGCTTGTCATTCCAAGCACTGTCGCGTAGGAATTCGACGGATGTTCTGCTGTTTCGCCCTTCTCCGTGCTGTGTTGCTGTGATGGTATGTGATGGCTGTTCACTGCAGTGATTTGGATGCTTTCCGATCGCTGTTTGAGTGGAGTTTTGGTTGGAGCTTGTGGAGAACAGTTCGCGTGGTCGCTCTCTGGTGGCGTTGTTGTGCTTGCGACTCCTTCTGATTTTGCTTCGCGATGAATGCGTGGTAGTTTCTCATTGCATTTCACCGGTTGTTAGTTTGTTTTTGAGATTTTTTGGTCTTTAGAAAGATGTTCGGGCCAATCTTCTGACGTTTGGCATTGTTCGTTTTTTTTTTTTTTTTTTTTTTTTTTTTCTCGCGGTGCGTTGTAGTTGTTTCTCGATTCGCATCGCGCGGATTGAACTTCGATTTTGAGCCAATCGGTCGGTAGCATTGTACTTGATCGGAATTTCTAGGTTATTTGAACCTTGGAGTTTCGGCCTCTCACCATTGGTGGCTGCTGGTGTGCATCAGGATTGTAATCCTGAATTTTGATGTCTGAAGATCGGACCATGTCATCCTCTTCGCTCAGTCGTTCACAGAATTTTTGATTTCTCAGAGTTCAAGCGTGACCTACACTCAGCGCACTTGACTTTTCTTTCAGACGTCGTTCGGTGATGAAAGAAAGTTGCCGACTGAGATTCTTAGACTATCGGGGCTCTCTCCATGTTTTGAGAAAGCGAGTGATGATGTCTGAGCTCTATCATAAACGGAAAGTATGGCGGTCATAGGGTGTTGCGGTGATTTTCCATGCTGTTGGCGGATTTGCGTCCTTAGATATACAATTTTTTTCGATGCAGTGTAGAGACCTAAGTCTGGATCTCATTGCTGTTTGGATCAGAGAAGCAGGTCTGTCTTGGCACTAATCACGAACTTTGCAGGGTGGAAATTAGTGGAGGCGCTGTGGATTGAGGTAGATTGATATTGGGGGTGGAGTCACAGCACTCTGAGACATGCTTAAATAGACGAATTGCTTGCATGAAAACCATAGGGGTTCAGATGGAACAGAATCGTAATTACAATAGCAGTCGTGCTGGGGGCGCATCAGATGGTGGAGATGCAGTGATGGTCCGCTGGTTGCAGACAGCCGGGCTCCAGCATTTGACAACTTCTTTATCAGCGGCAGCCCTTGATCATCAGATACTTCCCTCTCTGCTCATGCAGGTGCCTCCCAGAATCACAATGTTTTAGTGCCTTTATCTCATCGAATGTGTTTCTACTTCTGAAGTGGTAGGGTGCAATTGGCACGATCATACCTGGTTTATATTCACGTCGTATTGATTATTCGGGCAGTGTCTGTCCATACAATCGAAGTCTTTGAATGGATCTCGATTGAAAACTGAATTTCAGACTTTCTTTCAACATAGTAGATTGGCCGTGTAGAGTCTCTCGTAAGTTCTAATCGTCCTCAGTGCGCTCGCAGCACTCCGAACCATTTACATATTCTAGAGCTTAATTGCCAGCGTATCGTAGTATAAAAGTCATATTTTGCACTTTTTTTATTGTTGTGATCGCATGGCGTATACGACTATCTCGAAGTGATTGTGCTTATGGAGTTTGTTGCGACATAGTTTTCTTTACATTTTGACATGCCTTATCTGTAGAATGCAGTTAGCAAAATTGTTCTTTTCGAGGCTCTTCAGTGGTCGGTAGTCTCTACTTGACCTCTGGAAATCCAACATAAATCAGGTCTAGAGTTTCCTTTTATCAATCCTTTTTTTATAACAAGCACACTATATGACTTTTATTCTCAACGGCTACTGGCAATGAAATTGTTTCTGGTAATAATGGTCGACCTGTTTGGGCCATTTGCACATAGTATTGGTTTGGATCTAATGGTTGTCAGTTGCGAGGATATGATCTATTGCAGCTTTTGCTGAGAGGCTTTAATTAAAACTGTTTCAACGAAGCTCGCAAATCTACGTCCTACATGTTCGATTTTCTTCAAGATTTTCATAAAGGTTTGCTTAGAGTGTAGGGTGTCTGATCTCTCTCTCGACTTTCTGGAGGTTTTCTTCTCTGTTATTCATTCCACTTTTGGTTAAAATTGCACGTAGGACTCTTTGGTTACCTACCTTTTAGATATTCTTATAATATTATTACTGTTGTTATTATTATTATCATTGTTATTATTAGTCATTGTCTCTGTTGGATTTTGTAGTTAGCACATTCTACACATGGGATATTAGCATGATCTCCAACAATCTGCAGCTTTTGCAGACTCTGTTTCTCGCTGTTCCACCTGTAGTGCGCACAAACCTGGAAGTTTGATGATTTGAGATATATTTGTCCATATGTTAGACAACATGTTTTGAAAGGTGACACGACTCTACCATGCATCTCTTTTGTTGTTTGTTACCTTCAAATTTTGCTAATTCTTGGACTGGTATTCCTTCTCTCGTCATCTTTTTTAATTGTTACTGGAAGCCTCGGGTTTCTCTTGTTAAAATGTTCTTTGTAATTGCTTTCGTGTATTTCTCCTCGAATGTGGATTGCATTTCATTCGTATGACTTGATGCATACCACACCACTATTTTGCAATAACCAGCTTTCGGTTTTTGATTCTGGTGGGTTGGGATCGTCATGTGTGACGCAGGAATATGGCAGATATGGAGCTCAATCGTTAGAAGAGAAGCAGAAATTGTTCAAATTGGTCAAGTCAATTGGTAGTGGTGCGGAATCAGCATCTGAGTCCTCGACCCCACCTGTTTTCTCTTTTTCAGCAAGTCAAAGTGGGATGGACGGTTATTTTCCTCCGGAACTAAGGGGTGACTTCAATGCCGGGATATTAGATCTGCACTCTATCGATGACACCGAATTTTTCCCCGAGGTAATCCTTTTGAACCGCTTGTAATATTGGTTTCAACTTCCATACCTGAACACTTAAACAGAGTGAATCCTTGGGGTTGTACTTTAGTATAGGTTAAATATGTGGCATTTGCTTGTGGAACGTCAATCACATGTTTCTCTCAGTCGATTTTAAGTAATAGCTACATTTCTGTGGGTATTAGCAATTTCGCTTTCAAATCATTTAGTTGATGGTCTGTTGCTTTTTGGTTACATCCAGAAACCTAACTTGCCCACATTACATAAGTAGATATCATATTGCCAGGTTGAAGTCTTAAACTGTTGCAATTCGGAGTTTCAGATGATGTGCAGGTTCTTAATCTGGCGGACTTGTACTTGTTTCCACTTGTACTTCTCTTGCAGATTGCAATGGCAGAGCCGTTTCAATCGTCACCATCATTTGTTCCTGTTGTCGAGAAAGGATTTGAGCCTGATATATCATCGAATAGCTTTAAAGGCCGGATGCAGGGATTATCACAGAGCAGCCCTCTTAGATCTTCTTCGAATGAGAGGGACAAAACTGGGAACAACAGTAATCTTGCAAGGATCCGAGTTGTGGTGGGTTTTCTGCAACTCCCAGTAATAGTTTGTTTGCAATTGGTCGAGAAGCTTCTTCAACAACTCTGTTATTTTTTGCGCTTTGTTGGACAAACAAGTATGTTCATGGCTTACATGAATTTTGAAATTTGAATGGACATGTCTGTAATAGCAGCTGTTTCTTAACTTGAACATATGAAATGCAGCGCATGTTAGTCTTTTCTAGTGTTCTGGTTGTCTGTCGGAGAATCTCTCTGCAGGGACGGCCAGCCACTAACAGAGAGACCATCATCAGCGGTGTGTTACAGAAATTTCAGTTGAAGTTTTGATGTAGAAGGTGTGAGCTGCTTGCGTAAAATGATTGTGGTTTCTGATTATAGGTTCGCAAACGCCCCCTAAACAAGAAAGAGCTTTCACGAAAGGAGGAAGATATCATCACTATAAACGATGTGGAGAGCTCCCTCACTGTTAACGAGCCTAAAGTGAAGGTCAGCTTGACTGTCTGCCTGTCAGTGTGATGACTTAGATGGCTGATTCCTGATAAGCCATTATAAAACATCGTGTTAATGTAGCCCTACTTTTTATCCAATGTGTTGTTCGTGATGTATGCGATCAGTTTAACTGACAACTATTTACTTGACAGGTGGACCTTACTGCGTATATTGAGAGACACGAATTTGTATTTGATGCTGTTTTGAATCAACATGTCAGCAATGATGAGGTAATAATGCTGCAACTCTGCAGGTCTGCATCTCTTTGGGTTCTGTTTTATAAAACTGTAATGAACATTGAGTTAATGCCTTTGGCTTCGTAGGTGTATCGTTCTACCGTTGAGCCCATCGTACCCACTATCTTCAACCGCACCAAAGCAACCTGCTTCGCTTACGGACAAACAGGTATTGCGTCTATATACTCTTGATCATTAGCCACGCTGGGCCACCTTCTTAAGTCTGTTGAAGGCCCACATATGTGAAGTGAAGCATTTCAAATGGTAGGCCAAGTGAAACTTGTAGCGATTTTGATCTTCACGTGGACTAATGTCATATTAACTAGAGATCGTTACACTTACATGCAGGCATTTTCAAGTTTGATTTATGTACTCACTATTATATATTCTGCATGAAATGATCTTTTACCTGGAGGAATCTGGACTGTATCCCGTGTGTACGTGTGAATCGCCGTGCTGGTTTTTCAAGTTGTATGGAAACTAGTATTAACAAATGCTCAACTGGAGGTGGCAGGAAGTGGTAAGACTTATACGATGCAGCCTTTGCCTCTTAGAGCATGCCAAGATATTATGAGCATCATGCAGCAGCCTAGTCATCGCAACCAGGGCCTTCAATTGTGGCTTAGTTTTTTTGAAATTTACGGTGGAAAACTTTATGATCTTCTCAACGAAAGGAGGTTGGTGCAGACCCTGACTCATTATTTGCTATTTAAATTGGTTTGTGTGTTAAGTTGCTGAAGTGAATCTTTTAGCGAATATACGCGTTCAGATTCTTCTCTGAAAAGTTGACTAAGAGCGCGTAAGTAGACATAAATTATAAAGCAGAGTTGGAAATGCTGCTAGCTTTGTGTTGATTCTAGTATCGGCATGGCGTATCTTGGATTTCTGCTTATTTAGCTGTATGATCCATCGTAATTGAATAGTTATTGATTTGAACAGAATGACTTTCTACTCTGATGCAGGAAGCTTTGCATGCGTGAGGATGGTCGCCAGCAAGTCTGCATTGTTGGTCTGAAAGAGTTTCGCGTATCAGACGTTGAGTTGGTTAAGGAGTATATTGACAAAGGCAACGCATCTCGGAGCACTGGCTCTACTGGTGCCAATGAGGAATCTTCTAGGTCTCATGCTATTTTACAATTAGTTGTCAAAAAGGCCCAGGAAGGAAAGGAAGTTAGTCGAGTAGTTGGCAAAATTTCATTTATTGATCTGGCTGGCAGTGAGCGTGGTGCGGATACTACTGATAATGACCGTCAGACAAGGTTAGCACACGCTTCTTTTTTGGCAAGTAAAATTCCTTCTTGTTTCTCGCAGTTCTCTGCTGCATGTCCCTTCAATCTGTCACTCGGGACATTGTGATAATACGGATTTATCTTTCATCACATTAGTTCGTAAACAAATGCTTCATTACTGTTTGCTGATATTTGAGTGACGTCAAAGCTTATTGTAATTTGTTTACATTGCATTCTTTTGATTGGTTGTAAGATGGCTACCTGGCTCTGTGATGTAGAATGGAAGGAGCAGAGATCAACAAGAGCTTGCTGGCCTTGAAGGAGTGTATCAGGGCGCTTGACAATGACCAAGGTCACATCCCTTTTCGTGGAAGCAAGCTAACAGAGGTCCTCCGTGATTCTTTCGTGGGTGATTCGCGCACAGTGATGATCTCTTGTATATCTCCAAACGCAGGATCTTGCGAACACACACTGAACACGCTCAGATATGCAGATAGGTAAGCAACATGTATTTTCCTTGTTCGCTCTGTCAACTTGCTCCTCAAGCTTTTTATTTCCATCAAGGTTTCTCAGAATTTGGGTTTAGATACGGATAGATCCTGGTTCATTTATTCACGTAAATGATAGGTCTCACAGTGGCTTGCGTGTAAAGATTTCCTTTCTTTCATCAATAGACAGACATAATGGTTTATTGATTGCGAAAATGTAGAATCGGAACAAGCCTACGATAAGTCGAGAACATTGAAAGTAGAGCAGAAAGATAGTTTCCAAGTGTAATATTTAATAAAATTTAGTGATTACCTATTGTATTTATTAAGACAAATATCTTAATTCGTAATACTGAAGTCACTACTCATTGATACTGGTGTACTCCCAGGGTAAAGGGTTTGTCCAAGAACAGCAATTCCAAAAGGGATCCGAACTCATCAACGTCGGTGCCTAGAGAATCTGCTTCATCTCCTCCACCTCTGTCGTCAGCAGCTCCAGTTGCCCTACAATTGTTTGAGTTTGGACAAGATAGTAGACTTGTAGAAAATGGTAGACGCCCACCCCTTGATCCAGGGCGGTATTTGCAGCAGGGTGAGAGGGAACTTTGCGATCAATCCATAGAGTATAGCTACTCAGGAAGAGAACTCAGTAGGGTGAATTCAATTGGGAATGATAGGGATGGACAAAGATTAACAGATACAAGCGAATTAAGTGCGATTGACGAACCGCAGGAGGTCGACAGGACTCAGGGAATTTTTTCAGCACGACGCAAAATTGGCAGGGAGGCAAAGTTTGACCGTCCATCTATTCGTGATGAACTTCATAAATCTGACGGTGTTTTCAAACGCCAGACTGAAAACAATCGCGATGAGCTATTAAAGCCTGATGGAAGCTCCAGGCATCAGTATGACGGCAATCGCGAGGAGGCGTCAAAACCGGATGGAAATTCAAGGCGTCAATTAGATCAAATCCCAAACACCCTCACACTCGCAAAAGCCGAACCAGAAGTCATTCCTGCGCAATACAATCGCGAAGGCCACATCAATGCTATTCTTGAGGTCTGTGTCTGATTTCCTTGATTGACCTGGATTTGTGCTGAGAGGTGGTATTTGTGAGAGTGACTATTCGTTTCTCCTTAAGAGTTCTGTTATCCATCAGAAAATTGCCTGGTGTTGGAAGTGTCCTTAAGAAGTGTTGTCAAGCACATGGATACCTAACAATCTGCAGTGGTTGATAAGCACCAAATAGATTTGTTGGTAGCAAAGAGTAGATTTGGAAAGAATGCTGTATTATTTTAGTATTGTCTTTCTGCTGTGACTGAGGATGAAGAGGTTGGTTTATGCAGGAAGAGGAAGAGGTGATATCAGCCCATCGAAAGGAGGTTGAGGATACTATGGAGATCGTACGAGAGGTACGAGTCAGTCTCCTTTTTACAGTTGCTAGCTTTGAGTGTGGCGTCGTGTTGTCCTATGTTTGTTATGTTGAACTTGTACTATCAGAAGGAGTGAAGAATTGAGTATGGATTGAGTTAGGAAACAATGAAATGAATTCGGAATAATCTTCTCTTAGTGAGCACCTGCCACCTAGAGACTGGGTGCGCGGATACTGATCGGTTGAAATATATGCTGGTGGTTCAACGAGAGAAACGTTCGCCTTCACAGAAGACTGTCTTCAGCATAGCAATACCTGAAACATGATGACCTGAAAAAACTATAGTGACATGGCTGTTTTTATTCTAGGAAGATGTCTTGTGGGTACAGGTGCTGGCAAGGATCCTTAAAGGTCAACTGTGTGTGCATGCAGGAGATGAAGTTGCTCGCTGAGGTAGACCAACCTGGCAGCCGGATAGACCGGTATGTTTCTCAGCTAAATTATGTTCTCTCTCGCAAAGCTGCTGGTATTGTTAACCTTCAAGCTCGACTGGCAAGATTCCAACGGCATATGAAAGAACAGGAAATCTTGAGCCGCACTAGTGGGCTTCGGCAAATGTAACCTCGCAGGTTCCGTTTCAGGAGCTATAATTTTCTTCGTGGTCTGGCATGCCTTTTGTCCGACGTTCTCTCCCACATGTTCTAGAGAGGACGTGAATCTGGCTAGGGGTCTTGAAACAAGGCATGATGCTGGGATATTAAGTAAAAGGTTGTGGGCTTTTGGACAAGGTGATTGAACTGGACCAAGAGCGTCGTTTGTAGGCCTATAGTCTGGCCCGAATGGTGACATAGCTGTTGAGGTCACAGTAGTTTGCAGTACCTCTGAAGGTGTCCGTTGAACCTGCCCACGGAGCACATCGAAGTTCTTACATTCAGCCACGTAGCTTGTACTTAAAAGTAGCCAAACTTTATGTTTGTAACATACATTAAAACAAAACCTCATTTACTGCTACGCTTTTCGCGATCCTTCTGTTACTTGTCGAGACCGGCAATTTGTTCCCCTAAAGTCTGGAAGTGAGACTTGTCATTTATGGAACTCCTACATGTGTAGGAACAGTTTTTTAACAAATATATCATTTTTGTATTTTTGTAATTGTTAAAGAAAGTTGAGTAAAATACTTTAAGTACAAAAACACTACGTATACTACATTTTGATGGTTGATGCGTTTTCGGTGAATGATAAATGGAAGCAATTTGTTTGTGTGTGTATAATCATTTAATAACTAACAATCTATCGCAAAAGCTCAAAAAGAAAAATCAATCTAGAGAGGATATTATCACGTTAATGATCAAAACCAACTTCAATTACAGTTTGTTAAAAATTTAATGATTATTATTAAAATCTTGGTTACTGAAAGAGACACATTTTTCACTACATTGAAATAATGACCAACTTGAAAGGACTGTCACACATAATTTATCAGAGATGACCTTATCTTGCAAGGAAATGCACAGTGGATTTGTTTATTTATTTTCTTACAAAACAGAGATAATAAACAGTAGTGATCATCCATTTAACAGACAAAATGGTCATCTAATAAGAACTTAAAAGGGGTACACAACATCCAAAATGTTCAAAACCAAATTAATACCCAAAAATTATGTCGTAAACAATTCAACTTTGCAAAGGTTGAATGCAGGGCAACAAAGGGAAGGAAAACGTGGAGGGCACGGTCATGGGATTGAATAGGCTCCCCACTGCGGTGTGGTTGCTCATGGGTACTCCGGGTCTTAGACCGTGGAAGGATCACCTACATCCGTGCCCTTGTCCAGCGTGGTCGGGTATCCACGTCAGATCACAGCGCCACGTTCTCGACGACGTGGACAAAAGTACGAGCTGAGCTGGCGATGGGGTCCAAAACAATGATTTTTTCGTATCCTCGTTTCTCCGGAGGCTGAAAAATTGACTAGAAATCTTCCATGCTTGCCACAGTTGCCTTCAAAGACAACATCGTTCGATGTTGACCTTCTTGGCTTTTTTTTTTTTTTTTTTTTTTTTTTTCATTATTATTAAAGGCCGAAAGTTTTCAAGTGTGTTACGAGTGGATGTTGCAATTATTCAAAATTGGCTTCCTGAATGAAGAATTACTTTGAATTTTTCTTTTCTATGTGCTAAAATGTGTGTATGTACATAAAAGCATTTTTATGATGATGTCTAAATTAATTGTATACCACTTGAAGATTATTAGATGTTATAAAACTTGCATTCTAAGTTTTATTTTATTTTATTTTATTTATAAGAAATACTTATTTGTTTTTATATACCGAATGTATATAAATATTTATGTACATATATATACATAACACCGATATCATTATTATTATTATTATTATTATTGTTTATCACATGACTTGATTTTTAAGATAGGCTAGAACACTTTATGAATAAATTATTTCAAAATAAAAGAAGTTCGTGCTAGAGGTTCCTCAATGTTTCAACACTCACGTAATAATAAAAGAGTTGGTATTTGAGTGTCATGTACACTCTCTTTAAGAAGTATTTTGACACAAATCAACAGAATGTAAATTTGAGAGTGATGATTAAGCCTCATAATGCTTGGTTTCACAAGAGGAAATGAAGAGAATGAGTCAGAGTGAAGTGTGGAAATAGGGAGGGGGCAGCCACTGGGAAGTAGTAACATTAGTGGGGTAGGCAGAAATGGGAGCTTCTCATTCCAACTTTACTAGGAATGAAGTGAAAGAATCAAACAAAGGAAAGCTCATTTCTTCACTCATTCACTCTCTTCTCACTCACTCACACTGTTGGGTTCACGGAGAGTCATATGCATTGATTGCATGGCTTGGTCATAGTGGTGGTGGTGGTGTTGCTGGAGGACTCCGATTGAGCGTGTTTGTGGGTGCGAGTAGAGTTGGTCTATGGGAGTGAAATGCGGTCAGCAGGAGTGGGAGGAAGAAGAGACAGGCAGAGAGTGTGTGAGAGAGAGAGACACACACACACATTCATATACTCACTCCTCTCTTCCCTACGTCGCAACCACTGGGCGCTGCTTCATGGACTCGTCGTTCCGTTTCACAAAGAATGTATATATTCCTTAGGTGGAGTGGCCTATTGGAGAGCTGATAGGGTGGTTTGTGGGCATTTTGGATTGGAGTCGGGGATTCTGGAAGGGAAGGGATGGAGGAGGTTTTGAACGAGCAAGTCGTGTTAGATGGGAAGCGGGTGCTGGTTACGTTGGATTCGGCTGCTGGGGTGCTCCAATGGCGCGGAGAGAGGGATGGCCAGTTGATTCTGCAGAACGACCTAATTGGGTTCTGTAGCTCTGAGTCTGGCATTTGTTTGTACACGTTCAGAATGACGAAGAGCTCGAGTTATTGTGGGAAGGGCTTACCAGGACGGAAACGCAAGGACATGGTCGTGGAGTTTAGCAACGACGGGGCTCGCAGGCTTTGGTGTGATTCCCTCCAGCGAATTCTAGACAAAGCTGGTATGGTCTCGTTGATTTTTCCTTCCAAATCCATGATACTCGCGAGCCAGCAATCGTTCGAGAATTCCCTGACATACTAAGAATGTAACATGCTAAGAATTCAAGGCTTTGGGTGACAGTCTGAGTAATTACTCGGCCATCGATTTTTAAATCTCATAATAGTAAGAACCAAAGGATTCTTGTGAAGAAATGAGTTGCCCGTACGAAACGAATTCCCAATATCAACTCGAGATTCTGGAGAATTGAGGGAATGCGCAGGTACTTTCAAGTAGTAATGAGTTGGATTGTGTCAGGGCGACCGAAGCGGCTTCTAGTGCTTGTTAACCCTTTTGGTGGAAGGAAAACTGGGAGGAAAGTGTTTAGTGCAAGTGTGGAGCCTTTACTGAAAGCGGCTGGCATCACTTACACCGTGAAAGGTGCGATCCTTTCTCGCAGATTGGCTTGGTTAAGTTGTCCAATCACACTCTTCATGATATGTCACAAGATGTTGGGGACTGAGTGAGTTATGTCTCTATTTTATGAGTGCTGGAATATTTGTCTGAGGGGTCTCAGTCTAAGCTTTACACATCTTATAAAGCAAGCGCGCATCCACTTTGTGGCATGAAAAAGAATGATGATTTCGTTATAAATAGCCTGAGGAAGGAGTTCTGAAGTTGCTGAATATCTGCATGCAGAAACGCAGTTCCAACGTCATGCTTTAGACTTGGCCAAAGAATCGGATCTCTCGCAGTTGGATGGCATCGTCTGCGTCAGTGGAGACGGAGTGTTAGTTGAGGTGTGCTTCGCTTCAGACTGAGATAGTCTGCTTGATCTTTCAACAAAGTGTGATGTGTAGATCCTCTCTCTTGAAAAATTTCACATATTTTAAAGGATATATATATATATATATATATATATATATATATGTGTGTGTGTGTGTGTGTGTATACGCGTATTTTTTTTTGATGTTGTGTGAGTGCAGTAGCACATACTAACTTTTTCTTTGACGTAGCCTTTCTCTGGCAAGTCACTGATGTGAGATCGGTCTAAAGTGCAGGTGTTAAATGGTCTGCTGGAAAGATCTGATTGGGAGCGCGCTATTAAGATGCCGATTGGCATCATTCCCGCTGGTACAGTTGCTGTGAATGGCTCTTCCGTTAGTTTTCTTTCAAACCTGCAGCTTAGAATGTCATTTGCAGGCATTCTTTCACGTGTGCGAGCTTGGATCCTGTGAATTTGTCATTTTAAACACTTTTAAGGACTGTCTATTTTGTTGGATACCATAAACTTGATTTTATCAATTGTGAACCAAGTAGACAGTAGTGCTAGAGAATGGAATTTGCAATATATGGCTTCATTTTTTTTTTGTACTATCCTTTTTGTTGATTTTGAGGTCCTTGAAGTTGCTTCATGCACTCTTTTTGATCTTGTGGTCAAAATTCTTCTTGATACAGGGACGGGAAATGGTTTGGCGAAGTCAGTGTTGGATCATGTAGGGGAGCCTTGTGATGCTGCAAGTGCTACTTTTCTCGTCATCCGAGGTAACTTGATATATTTCTTGACGTAGTTGTCAATGTCGTGGCGGTAATTACTTTTCAGGTTAACTTATGATTTGTTAAGTTCTGTTTGCCCTTAGTTGAATGATACAAGATGCATAGCAGGGCAGACGCAGCCGCTTGACGTTGCTACAGCGAAGCAGTCAAATGTCAAGTTTCACAGCATTCTGATGCTAACATGGGGTACGACTCTTATTCACTAAAACCTGCTGTATATTCCTGGTCGTGTTTCCTTCAACGCTACGACAACTCTTTTTCTCGTTTTTCATTTTTTTTCTTCCTATTTTCTGTTTTTCATTATTATTTTTTTAATATCCAACTATTTTTTTTATGTACTACTAGATTTGGGTAGCATATTTCCTGCTGTAAAGAAATCTACAGATTTCTAGTTCTTCACTATAATTTTCATGGTTGAAACCTAATTGTTTCAACTGTTACAAGAGCGCTGTGTGCAGTCTACCATGACACGGATCGTTCAGTTTTGCGTTGCAACAGTTAGCTGGTAACTTACTCCGATCTGGTTGTTGTAGGTCTTGTTGCTGATGTGGACATCGAATCCGAAAGATTGAGGTGGATGGGTGCATTACGTCTGGACGTTTACGTAGGTGATTTCAGTCTTTGTCAAGACATGCCATGCGTTGCTTTTCTCCTGGTCTTCACTTTTGAATAGATATTATACATGAAAATTTTGGTTCTTTTTCTTCTAGAATATTTTTTCCATGACTTGTAACTAGCCATCAGGGTTTGGAAATACCTACTTGTTTCTTTCACGCGCCCAATCTAGAAAAACGTGTTGCATGCCTTCAAATTTTTGGCAGACGTTGATCAGGATAAGCAATCTACGGAAGTACAATGGACAGCTTTACTACATTCCAGCGCCTGGATATGAAGGGACAGGGACCCCTCTCAATGAAGAATTTGCAAGAACAACCTTGATGACATCTGGTGAAGCTAACAGCGACAGTAGCTTGCAGAAGCATGGGGACCCTGGATCCCTGCAAAAGAATTTTTCGGAGTGGCGTGAGATGGAGGGTCCCTTCATTCTTATTTGGCTCAATAATGTACCGTTCGTTAGCGAGTCTGTTAATGCCGCCCCGAATGCCAAGGTATTCTGGTCATTACTCTAATGATTTCATTTGAATACATTGTTTAGGGGTTTTATATATATATATATATATATATATATATATACACACACACACACGTACACCTTCGCTACTTTATCGAAAAGACTTAGTGGATGTAATCTTCCTATTCACGTGGCTTTGTAGTTCGCAGACGGATATCTGGACTTAATAATTCTGAAGGATTGTCCTCGCTGGGCTTTGCTTAACTTACTTCTTAAGGTGCAAACCGGAGGACACATCAAATCTAAGTATGTGGATTACCTCAAGGTAATTTACTGCCCTACGCAGAGTTCATCGTTTTAATTTACAATGTTCACCTTGCTTGTTCTAATTTTGTGCAGAAACTTCTGCATTTATCCAACGTAGTCACTTATTTGTATTATTCCAGATTTTGATGGAAGACCTTTACAATTGTGTGAATGCGGAATTCCTGTTTTTGCATAGCTATAATGAGGCCAGTGTGGACTCCGTTGTTCGGAAAACAGGTGAAGACGTTTCGACTTGATCCTGTTGGCCGGCATGCAAGTGACGTTCAAGGCGGCTACACTGACTTAGATGGCGAAATTCTTGCACGAGACAAAGGCTCATTTGGTGATGGAAGCAACTACCCAATGTCATATGGGCCCCCTATAGAGGTTACGGTTGAACCAGGGTTGGCAACAATCTTTTGCCCCCCTTGACAAATTTCTCTGGCTCGGTGCGTGCTTTCTTATACACAAGTATGTATGCTGCAGCTTACAATCGGCTCGACTTGTGAACGATGGCAAGTCTTTATAGCAAATAATTTCACCATGTCAAGCTTCGTATACAAGCGGGAGAGATGTTTGACAACTTAACACGGCTACAGGAATAAGTTGATTCATCATTCTTCAGAGAGAAACGATTATTTGAAGTATATTTTGGCGATCATCCTTCACAAACAGAACATAGTTCAGGAGTATTCATAACAAGAATACTTCAAGAACTCTCAGAACTATCAGGAAACTTTAAGACCTCTAGGACACTATGTAAAATTGTGAAATATTCGTAATACTGGAACTATGCCAAAACTTGTTACCTGCGCCTCTAAATCCTCTTGTTGGGGTGTAAAGATGTTATCGCATAGTTGATATTAACAAGCATCACAATGTGTTGATCTTACACATGTCAGACATGCTCTAATTTAACACACTCATACTGATACGCATTCTATAATTGTGATGCCACATCACAAGTCTGATGTACAAAAAGATCAGATGTAGCTTCTGCAGCTGAGTCTGCCAATTGTGCAGTGGCAGCAGCAAAAGCCGTAGTTGAGGTGACCGAACTACGAACTGATTACGATTCCAAGGTTCCTGCCATCACTGTTACTCAGAACTCACGTGCTGCAGTTGGGGATGAAGAATGTGCAACAGATTTGGACGATGACAAAGAAGATAGGAACATGTCTGCTCAATCATATGCCTTGCGGGAAAGAAACGCTCAACAAATCAAGTGAGCAATAACAAGATGTGATGAAAGAGACAGTGAAAGGGATGTGGCAACGTACCATGTACACGTCGTGACATGGAAGCTATTGGAATGCAACAGATGTGCGATACCGTAGATGAGCGCTCTGAAACACCGCACGTATTCAGAGAAGAAGGCTTCCATTAGAGGCAAACCCGACTGGATTTCAGACTGTAGGTGAATCCAGCAAGTCAGTATTCAGTGATGGGAGTGTAGGTAGAAATATCTGATCTCCAAGATCTCACACTGAAGTGTATGGTAGTAGCAGCACATTTAAATGTAGATGGGGAGGAACCCATCGAGGAACCTGATATTTATGACGTTTCTGATATCAACAGTGACAAGACAACACTGCGACGAAGTTCTTTCGACTCAAGTTGTTGCAACTGTAGCAACATCGATATGGATCATTAGTCATCCAGGTTGAGAGAGACACAATTAACTTGTGACCGACTTTTTGCGGGAGAGTCGGACGGTTCAAAACTCGGCCATGGTTGTTCCCTCTGTTGGAAGAAAGGAACAGTGGGTAGAACTGGTTAGTCTTCTTGTTTTGAGAATTTTTAACGGACATCATATTAAGATGATACTCATCATCCACCCTTCACATTCACTTCATTTGTGTTTCTTGTGGACTTTTGCGACCACCATTCTCCTCATGTGACAAGTATGGATGACTTGCTAGGAAACATGCTCAAGCTGCCAGACATGATGAAAGCTTAGGAACTTGGCTATGAACACTTCGTAAAATGGTGCTTAGGAAACACACCAGCCGCTCTTGCAGGTTCAGGGATAATTGGGTGCTTGGATTCATAGAACCGAGAGTAATACTGACACTTCTTCAACGTTGATTACGTTAGGTGGCCAAGGAATACATGGCTGATAACCGATTCAAAAACTGCTGTACTAAGAACAGCGAAATGAAGCTGGTTGTCTCGGCTGGTGTAGGATGTACATGCAGTGTTCGTGACTAGCTGGAGCAAATTGAGTATTAGTATGTCCGAACTATGAACGTCTGACCTATAGTTGACCAAAGATTCCTGCCATAGTGTGCTGCAATAAGATGATATACCGTCGATGAGATCCAGAAACATTTGACCTGGTTCTTCCGTTTCCAGGTTATCGATTAAAATGATTGTTTCTGATTATACACAATATACATTGTCTGGTCATATCTGAATATGGCGGCACTAGAGCATCCTCTGAAACCTTGGCGACAATGTTGGCAAGTTTGAAAACGACGCGGCTAAGTTCCTGAGTAGAAGAAAACCTGTTGATGAGGCTTGGCTTGGAACGGAGTATGGGATGAGCCGTTTGAAGCTGGCTTTCAGGAGAACAATGAAGCTGGCATTAAGGCTCCATTCTCAAGGAGCCGTTAGTAGTTCTATTAAAGCTTTAAACCATGAAAAAGAAAAGCGGACGGACTGATCGGAGATAGGTTACGGCTTTTCTGTTGTCCCGATTCAAACAAAGACGGCGTTTGCATGACCAATTAAAGCCTATTCACTTTAATGTCACAGTCATCGTCTAATTGCATCCGAAAATTACGAATTCAGTCATTTACTACAAGTTAAATTGCTGATTGCGCATGAACGATGTGAATAGAATTTGTGAGACGGTATGTTTGTAAGTGAACCCGTTGGGTGGTAGCGCAAATTAACCGCACGAAAGAAATAAATCACCTTTAGGCTTAGAAACTTGTATACTTGTTTCGGAGCACCTTTTGGTACAACTACCTTGATTTACAAACCAAGACCCACAAACACAGTAATATATATATATATATATATATATATAGATATTTCTAAGCCCTTGGTTTGAATGACGCAAGTCAATCGTCAAAGTGAGCCTCATTAGAGGTGGGGCCATTTCCAAGTGTGCTTTATCACAGGTTTGGAATATTTTTCGACACCTCTTACTCTTCTCATTGATCGAAGCTTCAGCATTATGACTGTTGCCACTTCAGTGAATATTTCTTGTGCCCTACTTGTATTCCAAACTCAACAGTAATTTTATTTTACATTGGGTTGCAACTCGTATACGAAGACTGTTTTATGAAAATAAGAGAGAAAGAGAAAAATAAGTAGGAAAAAACTGTTGGCTTTAGCTCGATTCTTCTCGCAATTGAGGAGAAGCGCAGTTGGGTTAATCAGATATCCCACTGGCAACTGAGCACGTTCTGCATGATCAACTGAAATAGCTGCGGAAGTCTGGGAGACTCAGCGCCCATGGATATGAAAAATGGCGACTCCGCAACCGGCTTATGTGTGCCCCATTCACATTCATCGACTGGAAGCAACAGGGGTCTTGAATGTGCTGACTTCCACTCTCCCAGAGGACTTGATTCATCGCTCTGCCTAGGTGGAGACTCTGACTTCGGTGGGTGTCCTTCGATGACCAGGAAAATTTAGAAACTAGCAGTCAACTCTGTGTAGGTAAATCACGGAAGCTCGGAGGAGCGCGTATGCTTTGCCGAGCACCAGTTCTGGCATGGCGATGGTGGTCCAGCGCACGGAGGCAGTTTCATTATTCATTTTTCGTGCTTCAACCCTCCCGGTTTAGAACCGAGGAGGATGCTTTGTTATTTCAAGTAAACGTTCAGGAAAGCTGGATCTCGGGAGCGATCAAGCTGGTTCTGAGTTTGAGCCATGATAGGGAGAAGTTCTCTTGAGAATGTGCATTGCTTGTGTGCCTCTGAACCAGAGTGAGTGGGGATGCGGCGAGTGTAGGTGTAGTCACAGGGCGTCTCAGTTCACGGTCTTGTGGTGGGAGCACCTGATTAGTGGTTGCAGCCAGTGTAGCAGGCTTAGCATTTCCTCTCTCTGGAACCTTCAACCTGCCGCGCTTCAGCAATTTTCTCCGCGAAGGAAGTCACTAGTTTTTGTGCCATGCTGAGTGCGCGGTTCCTAGACGAAGGATTTAGTGAGTTAGCTACTTGTCACAAGATCACTTGCTGCGCTGTAAGGCTGCGGACTGGATCTTCTTGCTTCGCCGACCTGGGCCACAATTGAATCCATTTGGTATGTTGGACTGATGATTCGCATCCCCCAATTGTGAATATCTAGAGTCTGCTGTGAAGGTTAGTGTGTAGCGCTTCATGCTAACTTCATTGTCAGTTTATGTGTGTGAACGGGAGTGAGTTTCATTATGTGGATAGCGTCCACATCTGGAGAAAATGCTTTAGCACCGCATCGATCCAGTTGCCAAAAATTATAATTTTTTTTAATGTACAACTAATTTCTCATTGCCTTTTCAGATTTTTTGACGGAAAGCGTTCAACCCAACTTGGAAGAGGAGCAAACGCTCTAATCCGAATCCTAGATTGCGAAAGATCTAGTGTAAAAACTAAAATTCTGCGAGCCGTACCTCATAATTGCTTCCAACAGCAGTTTGTCGTCTACACAACAGGCCCTGTGCAGTTGATTATCATCAACTTTTGAAGCAATGGCGGGTTTGAAGGTAAAGGATTTACTTAGTGAATTAGAGCCCTACAGTTCCAGACAGTTTGATCTGATGAACCCTCTGATGGATCTCACGTCCGATCACGAGAATACCATGAGGAAGTACCTCGGTTTATCAGGAGGAGAATCTTGGCCTCTGCTGGCTGAGTATTTGGGAGTTGCGTTGGCGTTTGCAGCGCTAGGCGCTCTTATACGAGATGCACATGGCACCGCAGTGAAAGAAGAAGTGAACGATGATTTCCAGAAACCTCAGAGACCAGCTATCCAAACCATGCTGAAAGGGGCGATGGAACGGCTGCAGTATTTAGCCCAGAACGCGCAAGACCTAGAAGAGAGACTGACAAACTGGGATCACGTGAAGGCAAGTTTCGTGCAGAAATTAAACACTGCCGAGGAAGAGATCAAAGAATTGAGGGTCAGAAGGGCAGAGGATGCCAAAGCCAATGACAAAGTCGCGCAAATATACGCTACTCGAGAACAGGGATGGAAGTTCGAGAAGAAGAAGCTGCGTCATGAGATCGATATCCTGAAGAAGGATCCGACTATTCAAGAGGCAAGTGAACTTCACACACTTAAAGCTAGTCTGCGAAAGAGACAATGCGAAGGGTGCGATGCTAAGAAGAGACGGATAAGAGAGCTAGAGAAGGCCATTCTAGAGAAAGAGGATGTGGCGTTGACGGCAAAGGAGAATGTACGAACCAAAGGTGAAGAAATTCGTGTGCTGACCTCTAATCTTGCAGCTGTTACTAAGACTGTCGTCCAGGTGAATGAGCAACTAAGGATAGAGTTGGCTAATTCAGCCGACCGTGAAACTATCCTTGATGAAGTCAGAAACAGGCAACACGAAGCCGAATGTCAATTGGCGAAAGCGGTAGAGGAGCTCGATAACACCAAAACACACCTTCAAGCTTTGAGTCTAGTAACCGAAAAGCATTCGGAAGTGACTCGGAGTCTCATATCTGAGTTAGCGATACTCCGGCAAGAGACTGAGGACAAGGATGTTATGATCTCCACCATGCTGGAGCGTTCAGAAGTTGAGAAACAAGAGAAAGAGGATCTTGCCCGGCTTATTGCGGGTGCTCAGGCAGGAAAAGAACTAGGTAACGCTCAAACAACTCAATGGCGAAGAGTAGCTGAGGATAGTACTCGGAGAAACCTCTTTGCCGGAGTTCCATATGCGGGTAGGTCCGGACATCGGAATCATCGCAGTTTAGGAAATCCATCAGAGCTGGAGGAAGTTGCAGCTCTTCAGAGATTTCAGCCTTGGGAGATAGACAGTCTTCTCGCCCCATGTAGCGCAGGTTCAACACCTAATGGGGCCTTGTTGCCAGGTATTCAAGGTACACGCTTTGAACAATCCTGCATGTCACATCTCCTCGTAACTTGCGTATCCTTTCCGACCGCATGATCAGATTTCAACGTGCTACGCGTAGCTGTTTCCTGGAATCTTGTTGGTTGATCGGTCCAAGATTCGTTGGATTTTCCATGTCGTGAATTAATGAGTTTTTCAATAGCAGAGCAGTTTTTCGCAATAGCAATCGTTGGGTAGATTTTCGTGGTATTCTAATGAAGAGTAACTATTGAAAGCAGATCCGTCATCAGATCCGGAAATTGTCGCAAGGTTTGAGATGGTGAAGCGGCGGCAAACCATGTACCTAGAGGATAAGCACTGGACTCAGATTGAGAGTTTTGAAAGGCAACTGCGAGTCAAAGACGAGAGGCTATCCGTATTTAGGTCAAAGCTAATAGCTCTCGAGTCAGAACTGGCTCAATCACGGAAGGAAGGAGATGAGTGGGATTCTTCAACAGCTGTGGAGGTTTGCACAACGGGAATCAAAAGCAAACAAGTTGGATCAACCTCGCCGAATCTTATGGAAGTTCTCGAGCGTGCGGTTTATACCGGAGAGGCAATGACATATCAAAGGTCATTGGAAAAGCTACTGATTGAGCTTAAAAATGTCACGTAAGGCTTAGCTTCAATCATACTCAAATTTGGATTACATTCCGTGCTATTGAACGTGAGATGGAACTGTGGGGATATTCATGAGACTGCACTGGTGGTTCGCTTGTTCTCATCCTCGATCACTGTCCTGTTTTTATTTCCCTTTGATTAAGCTTGTGTTTTCGCCGTGTAGGGACAAGCTTAGTCAGAAAAATGCCGAACACAACTCTATCGTTAAGAAGATGGCCGAGAATGCTAAGGCAGACCTTCAAAACAAGGATATGCAGTTGACTGATCTGCAAACAAAGTTGTGCCAAGTGCAGCAGCAGCTTAATGAAGTCAGATTGGCTAATGAAATGTCTTCATCTCAAAAATGTGAAGAGGAGGTAAATAACATTATCCATCGTCTGCTACTTCCTGTATATTGGTATTGTTTTGATCGTGTACTATATGTTGAGATTGGGACCCGCTGTTGTCGAGGAACTAGAACTGATTGCGTCAATTTGTTGTGATTAAGAAGTTTTTGGCGAATATGGGCTTGTTCCACGAACCAAAAACAGAAGATGTTCAGTTTTCCTCTCCGTGCTACGTTGTGGATTCAAGAATGAAAGTATCTGAACGGCGACTACACACCGAAGAGTCCGCCCTTCAGGAGGACTCTGCCTCTGCCTCTGCCAAACTGCTCACTAAGCTGAAAGACATGTGCCTGAAAGAGGACAATCCCCCGGCCTTAGTGCGGTTTCATAGGCAACTGGAGTTGAACAGCTCCGATGATTTTGTGTTTTCGTCAGATGATTGCTGGTTGATCGCTGAACCAAAGACAAGTGAAATGTTGTCGGGATCACAGCCAGAAAACGTGTCTCATTTCGTTTGCGAGGATAAGGGTGTCGTTATTTCGAAGAACTCTCCACAATCGCCGTGCCAAAGGGACACGATACCTCTAGGAATGGGGACGAATCCACAGAAGACTGTCAACAAGCAACCTTTAAGCCCCCAGGCAGGGACTTATTCTTCAATTGTGGATGAAGCCGTTTTCACACAGGTGAAGCCTACACCTTTTTCTAATTCTAAACATGTACTGGAAGATGATGCACTTCCAATTTTATTCTGTCTACTTACGTAGTCATAGATTCATATGGGTCAACATGCATATGAACAATTGCTGAGAGAACGTGGATGACATGCAGGCGCCTTCGAAAGGCAAGAAAAGCACGCGACCCGCCAGACTTGATATGTTCGACGTGCTAGAGGATCACAAGCCTCAACGCATCTTGTTCCATGAGCCAGAAGACTCTCATATTCCAATAACCAACCCCACTTTCGTGACTGAAGAGAGTGAGGATCAGTTGGCATTGGGTGAAGCTAGGTGATGCTCAGCCGTTGTTTTTGTGTTCACGCACTTGCAACAGCATAGCTGTAAACTAGTTATTTGGTTTATATACAACTTCGTCTGATTCCGCCGAACTATTTCAGGGTTTAGGTTTGTCTTGAAAAATGTCTCCTCACCTTGGTTTGGTACACACAGGACTACGTCGCGCACACGAGAAGACATGCAGGTGTTGGGATTGGCTTTGGAAGTGAAAAGCATAGAACAGAAACTTTCAAAATTGAAAACCTCTACTGTAAATGCTCAGCCACCAGCTCCGCGACCAGCAAGGAGCGTCAAAGGTTCAGTTCAACAGATGGGTGAAAAACAAACGAATCGATACTGTGGACTTGCAGGGAAATTTAGTCAGTTTGCTAAACAAATTGTAAGAACCGTTAGTCACCTCAATGCCCGTTTCCTACAATGGTGCATAACTAATGTTCACTTCCTCGTTTTGTTCCCTTATTATGAGAAAGCTATATTGTTGGAAAGCAAGAAACAATAGTTGGAATGCCGATTAAATGTTTCCTCCCTTAACTCTGCTGACTTGTTATTGTTTGTGCTTCTAGGGGTTGACAAAATCTAATCGGAAAGTGGCAGCGAATCCCCCGATTGAGGTGAAGAAAGAATCGTCTCCAGTCCTCCAGTCCGATCTATGTTTACGAAAGAACCCTTTGTTCTTTCAGGAAACTTCAGCTTTTGAGCTTGCCTCTCTTCACAAAAGGGCGGAGACAGTCGGTAGAAATCTTGCTGCGATAAAAGCCAAGCTGGAGAGGGAAAATAGTCTAGGTTTTTGTAAGGACTACAAGCCTTCTTTGCATAGTAAGGGCAAGTTACTGGACACTGTCCGAAGTCATCTCTTTCAGGTTCAAGGAGCACTTCGGAACTCGAAGCCAACAAAGACAACGTCTGCACCAAGGTCGCCTTCACTCTCGAAATCGAACCAGTGCACTGCGCCCAAAGCTCTAACTCCGCGCAAGCTCTCGTCTACAACTAATCCATCAACGCCCTCTGGAAAACGATATTGCTCCACGAAAACATTGACACCTCCTGGGCGGATCACTTCGTCCAAACAAGCATCGAGCCCTCCCGAGCGTTGGGCAGGATCTGCTACCATACGAACACCTGTAAGGGTTTTTTTCGCTTTGTTTGTGTGGACAATTCCAAATGCGATCGGATTGCGCAGGTTTTATTTCCATGCTCTATTGCTGAATTGAGCAAAGTTACCACTCTTGCATTGCTTCAGAGTGTAAGTTGATTGAAGGACTTGCACATGTGCAGCCCAAAACCACGATGAGAGAGCTTTTGAAGGACGACTCCAGGACCAGGGCTGCCTTTGGAAGGCGAGAGACCAAGCCAGCAATGTACAGATTCTCAATTCCTCAAATCGAGAGCAATTACATTGATTATTGTTCGGCCTGGTTGACAAAGTTTCTTTTGAATTAGATGCGCATGGGTTCGTCCTCTGCTGTTTGCTAAACTTCTCTATTTTGTTTGTTCTTATTATCAGGCATGATCAATGGACAAGAAAAACCTACACCCAGGATTCACTACGAATGGACTTGGAGCACCTGCGATGAAAAGGCATTTGAAGACGTTTGCAAGTGTGTGAACCTTCACCCAGAATCAGCCCGTGATCGATGGGGGCAAGTCTTCGTGAGGTGTGACACTAGGTTCTGGAACACATGCTAACAATTTTGGAGAGAAGTGGCGACCACAGATGACTAACCCTGTGTTAAAGAACACAAACTAGTCTTTCCTCGAGTGAAGAGAAAATAAGTTCATCAACCACGTGACCACCAGTGAACTTCAGCAGCCGCTCTCGGCCGTCAAGCTCTTTTGTAATCTTTATCTCAGAAGAAATCTACGGGGATGAGAAAAGTGCAACCGCGGATGAGGAGGGCAAACCATTTGTGCGGTGAGAAGATGATTATTAGGGTACAGAAGGCAAATCACTGTCGTATTCTAAATTGTAATTACACTAATACTGTAGGATGGTACATGCAGGTGCCGCATCTGATTTCTTTGTTGGAGTATCGTCCTGTCCCTGTAGACAAGTGATCTGGTACTATTCAATGATTGTTGAAACAAGGATATGTACAGTAGCTTTAGTAACTCCAATCAAATGTAAATTTGCTATATTAGCAAAAGCAACTCTTTTGACAGAAAAGGAATGATGTTCTCTTCTTTGATGTATACAATAAGTGAGCTAGCGAACGATGTGTTCTAAACATTAGAACAACCCACAGGTACCGTAACACACTTCAAATATGAAATGTGGAAAATACCACTATACCAACGTGCAATCTAATATTACACTATGAAAAATACAGTTGTAAACATAATAACACTGGGCTTAAGCAGGAAGCGGAAGTAGTGAGATAATCTGGACAATATTATAAATATCTCCGTCAAATTATCAGTAGCGTAGAAAAATCCCCAGTATCGTCAATGAAATTACTTTACAACCTCAAGGAGGGAAATTAGACCTCCAATTGAGGAGCACTGATTTCAAAGGAGCGCAGGACACCTAAAGTAAGATTCATTCTCATCTAAGAGGGGCTTCTCAATCGGCATCAGTTTCATGCTCCTTTGTCCTGGTCTCATAAAAGATCTACAGTGGAATTGGAATTCTAAAATGTACAGCTGACCTAAACCCACCTCGAATTTTTCCCGACCCATTCGTCTAAAGCCCTATGTAGAATCCCTCTTGTCACTGGTTTGCTAATGTAATCGTCCATCCCCGCTGTTATACACTTCTCTACTTCCCCCTCCGCCGTCGCTGCTGTCAACGCCACTATTGGCACGTTCCGTGAGATGCACCCTTTCTGCCGCACCATCTTCGCTGTTTCAAATCCGTCCATAATCTGCACAACCAAATAACTTCATTACATGACAAAACTGATAGGTCAAATGAGTCGTCTGTGATGGCCATCTTAAGGCAAAAGACAGGGTTGATAGATGCAGCAACTCACTGGCATATGACAGTCCATAAATATAATGTCGTAGTCGTTCGTCCGTCCTAAGATTTCAATAGCTTCGACACCGTCGTTGGCTACGTCTACCTGGCACCCCAAATTGTTGAGTAGGCGTTGAGCAACCATTTGATTCACTTTGTTGTCTTCCTGTAGTGCCAAGGATACATATTAGTGACCTTTGTATTACAACACCGAAGACAACCAGACGTGCAACGAACAAGAGCTAACAATAAATTAATACCAAAAGGGGCAGGTAAGCGATTTGATTAAAAGAGTTTTTTACCACTACAAAAATCCTTGGCTTTCTTACAGCAGTAATCTCCAATGTTGAAATTTGTGAAGTGGAAATATTCAAGGCATCTGTCTGTTGCTCCAAAGTGATCTTGCTTGTTGATGAAGCGGACACAGGGCTCTCATGGGAGGACCCCGTTGAGTATCTCCCATTCATAGGCGCAGAGCGAATCAAATGTCCTGCACATATGACATAACACTAGAGACGTCAAATCGTTTAACTCCCCCACGATGATTTCTGCTACAAAGGCACTAAAGCAGCAAACAGTGTCGCACATTTCGAACCTGTATCTAGTGTGAAATCGGGTTTGGTACGAATCAGCTTGGTTCCACCAGACAAAGCCACCGACAACGCGTCTCGTAAGTAGGCTTGCCGAGGAGGCCTGCTGAAGCAAGCGCAACAGCCGAGCTCCACTAGGACTTTTTGAGAGGGAAGGCTCTGCCCCACGTGACCCAATATAATCAGCTGAGGTCCTTTGAAGCTTGGTATCCCTAGTGACGCTTTGCGCAATTCGTAACCGAAGTGTTCAACTAACGCCCGATCCACAATTGCCACTTCACAAATTTCAACATTATCTGTCGGTCTTCATGAGTAGATTGCGAAAAATGGCCGAATGCAAGTGCCCACACACTCTGCATCCCAAAGAAACTCAACCAGCTCTAAGTCTGCAAGTGTCGATAACCTAAATACCTAACACATAAGAAACTCAATGGTTTCTGTATGATGGAATACTTCCAAAATAAAATAAGAAACACCAAAATTAAGAATAAGTGAGTTTTGAATAAGACAACTGGAAAACTCACGGGCAAATCATCTGGATGAACAAAAGAAATCCATCCCAAACCAAGCAGCTCCCCCGGTTCAGAGCCAGTCATCTCATGGTACGCGGAATTTGCATATATGTTCTTAGATTCATGGTCACATATGAAAACCCCCCGCTGACCAAGCCCACCGGGAAGATTCATCCTTCACCAATTTTCGCAAATCTTATAACTCCTGGAAGACGAAAAGGAAATTTGAGGAGAGGATTTTCTTATAAAAAAACGTAATCGAACATATGTGATTCTAACTTCCTCAACCCTTCAAAGATCTAGTACATAACTGTTTTGAAAACCTGATATCGGAACCAATAACATAATAAGATTTCTGAGCAAAGTCTAAAAATCACGTCCACACTCATTGCATGAGATCCAGGTACAATGGTGCAGACTATCCCTTCTACACTTAACCTGCACCGTTCATTCCTGCCAAGCCCTAAACTTGCGCACAAATTAAGAATGCCCGAGTAGAAAACCAATGTAAACTCCACATCTAGTAATCTCGAGTAGGACGACACGAATCTATACAAAACCCAATAATTCAGACATATGCTTCTTGAGAGTAAACTTTCTTTCGCCATGCTTTAATTATCTAACTTGAAACCAATTTTGCGTGATAAATCCCTGCCAAAAGTGCACATTCTTCGCAAGTGCCATTACGGAAGTCCTGAAATCCGGGCAGTAGAAAACCCAAAACATGCGCCCACGCCCCAGTGTAAATAAACCTGTTTTGCATGCTCGACAGAGCACAACTGCACTTCCTGTAGGGATGCTTCAAAAGACCTCTACGTCAACGTGTACCTTGCCACTGGTGTTTGGACAAGCCCAGAAACATTGAATTTCTAGGACCTGGATATTTGAGCGGATGACTATGAACGTCTGCAAACGGAGCTGAAATCTAATCACAAAGACGCCGGTCGGAGTGGACTTCTCAGGATGGCCACCCATCGTTTCTTCAACGGCAAATGCAGCTACCTACAGCAAGCTCTAGCATATCGAAGGGGAAGAGTAACCCCGCAGCCATGGATTCCGTGAATTTAACCTCCCAAAATAAGAATGTGATTTATTAGCTGGAATCTGATAATACTCTGGTGTCCTAGATCAGTCCTTGGAAAACCGATTGACCAATGTAAATGCAACAGGATTGGAGGCCGTGGAAAGTGAAAGTAGCTCACCGTACTACTTCGACCCTCAGTTTGAATTCGCATACTAGCAATATCCTTGAGCCTCCGCGTCCCCGGAATCATTAGTTTCCATCAATTTATCCTGCTGCAAATGCTCCTTATATTACACCTACTCTGCTCCCCTAAAAGATGGCTCAACATATGATCCTCTTTCCCGCGCTCATATCACCGTCTCAGCTGAATCCTCATCCTAAGCATGACGCCCTGAAACCCTCAACCCCGTCGCTCCTAGACTAAAACCCCGAGCGAATTGAGATTGGATATATACACTAAATCGAGCTGTTCACCTTGTAAAATCTACATCCACCACGCAGTGCACACAAAAATCCCTTGAGTAGCCAATACTGAGCCACGCGAGAAACCTGTCCCCGTGCCCGCAACAACATCGATAATGCATCGCCCACACTTCTAGCCTCCCGTTCCTACCGTCCCTGCACACTACAAATCAGCAGCTCCACCGCTCCACCCCTCAAAATCCACGTCCTCGCTTTAAACGAGACCAGTATCGCAACCCACCACCGACCTCGGGCAACAACAGTCCGCAACGAAGCACGTCTCCCGACAGGACCTTTCACAGCAGCAGCTCCTCCTCCCTCTCCTCCAACGATCGCTGCAGTCGCAATCCACGCGACTGCTCGCCGTAACCACGCACGACCCGCTCCTGTCCAAACAGGAATCCGGGGGAATTACCTGGAAGAACCCAACTTCAGCTTCAACGCAGCCGTCACCTCCGCACCGCAGTCTTCCTGTACCTCCTCATTCGCACCCTCCTTATCCCTCCATTGCTCTCCCTCGCTCTCTTTCCCTCTCTCGCTCTCACACTCTCTCTCGCTCTCTCATTCCGTTCCTCACTCGCAGCTTCATCACCCTTCTCGGCTGGAGAATCTCGGCAACGGCGACAGTGTCAATGATCACCGCCCACAACTTGCCACCCGGCTGCCCGCTCCGCCTCTCTGCTGCTGCCCGCCCTGACTCTGTATCCATGGCGAAAAGCAACTGCTGGTAACTCGTAGACACGGCGTCCTTCCGTCTATTCAGGGGTGGGTGGTTGTTGGATGGCGCCGAAGTCTGGCAACGTCGGGTCAACGGGTTCCCATTCTCGTCGTCTTCATCATCCTCGCCGTCTTCGTCGCCTTCTTCGTCGTCCTCCGTCATCCTCGTCCACGTCCTTTTCGTCGTCGTCGTCGTCGTTCACCGCTTCGTTCGTTGCCTTCCTGCTTGCTTGGCTGGCCAGTAGCATATGTTGGCCCTCTTGTTAACCTCTTTGAACTATGCTCTTGCATTTTTTACTAATTTTATACTTGTTTGCATGTACATGCGTATTTGGAAAAACTGCATATATATACTTATATATGTATACGCAGATTTTGACATTGTTGTTGACTAATTATATAGTGAAATTCATACGCTCTACTTATTTAATGTTCTTTGCCAATCTGTTTTATCTTTTAAGTTTCTATCACAAGAAAAGCAGTTGAGATTTATGTATTTTATGAAATGGGCTCAAGGCTTGTATAAATATATGTCAGAATATTTACTAATATTTATTTATACATTAATAATGGAACTTTAAATGTAAGGTAGAAAGATATTAAATCTAGCTTGGCATTACATCAATTTTTTTCCAAAAAGCTGATGCAATATCTAACTATTTACTGTTTTCTTCATTAGTTGATCATTTAAACATAAACCAACCCACAAACACACAATCCTAAATGAACATTTTCATTTATCATGAGAAACAACAGTTCCAGCTTGTTTGTCTCCACTGTGAAAATTGGGTGAGCTAGGGGAGTTGCGCTTTGAAGCTCATCAACTAACTCATATTACTAGTCTTAATAATAATAATAAAAGTATTATTCGAACTATGTACAATTGTATTGTGATAAACATTAATAATAATAGCTAACCAACTCAGGATTCTAGAAGAAGAAATGTGGCAATGATGCAGAGGGACAACAAGATTTCCCTGAAATAGAATGTTGACAAAGCTATCTGCTTGGACTCATTGCAAAGCAGATTCAAAACAAAATTCTATTTTAGTTGATGTTGATGAATATAGATAGATAGAGCAGATCGCATGCCTGGTGTTATCGGTAGAAACTTGTGACTTGATTGTTGAAGAAAAACACAAGAAGTATTTATTTGCTTATTTATTGGAATAGCAAGTCATCGGATTTTTTAAATATATCTGACTTTGATGGTGACATTGATGGTGTTTTGATTTTATTTTAATACAAAAATGTATGATACAAGAACTTGACTAGTTTTGGCAAGGAAGAGATAGTAAATTAAGTTCTAAATTGAAAGAGGGCAATAGTGGGTGAATTGCGTAAATTTCTTTGCTCTAGCCACATAGGTAGAAATAATAGATATTGTAATTTTGAGGTTTTTCCTTTTTGTCTTTTTTCTTTTTTACCATCTTAATCAAGAAATATAAAGTGTGATTGTTTATAAGTGTAGAGTAGAACTTTAAAATAAAAATAAAAAAAAATTTGTTGGCAATAATAATTTTGATTACAAATACCATCTTATTTTTACTTCAATTTAGAGATTCCAACTGAAATAATTAACATTAAAAAAAATCATTTACAACTATTGTAGATTCTTTCTTTAAAAAGTCAATAATATTTTTTAAGCAAATTTTTTTTTCTTAACTCACTATATTACTTGGTAATGTTTTCAATTACCAATTTAGATCTTAACACAACCAACTAGCACATAATTCTTTTTTGAAAGACTCTCTCATGACTTAAAACATAGTCAATTTTTTCCAAAAAAAATCAACATATTAATAGATATGTAATATATTTATATATAAAGGAATAATAAAGTGACCCAATTTTTTACTAAAGTGGCCTACTCTATCTTAAGCATCATTGCACCTTTGGAGCCTCCATTGAGCCTCCATCCCTATTTCTAGCCATTTTCTATCCTCAATTGTTGCTAAAGATGGAGGTAAGGGGTTGGGAACTTTGGAAACATGGGCAATTGTTGGAAACAAGGGAAATGGAGAATTGCTAGGAATAGAGCATCAAGGTTGATTTAGTAAAATTTTGAGTCACTTTATCATTTCCCTATATATATATAAAAAATTTTATGAGCAATATTCTTTGAGAATTTATAATGTAAATAACACTATTAATTGGAATCATTATAATTTAAAGTTATTTCTGCAATATGGGTCTTTGAGATAGTCATTGCATTTTTAAAAAATTATAATACTACACTACTTTTGTTTGTTCCAAACTTTTGTAACTTTTTTCTACTAGTAGCTATTATAACTATCTTTTCTTACTTTGTGATCAAACTTTTTCTTAGATTTTTCATTTCATGTTAAATAGTGATGTATACATATATATATATATATATATATATATACTATATGTACATTTTTTTATATAAATATTAATAATATAAAATTTTTTACTTTATATTATAGAAAAAAAGTAGAAATTATAACAGCTAATTTTAATTATAAGAAATTCTAAAACATTTAAAAGAAGATAAAAATATAAGTGATGTAATTATAATATTTGAAGATGACCTTATTCTTTTTATATATACAGAAAGTAATAATAAAGTTGTAAAAATTCATTCTAAAGAATATTAAATTTTTATAATAATTACATAACTTGTGAAACACTTCTATAAAGTTTTCAAAATAAAAAATTTCAAAAAAGAAGATTTTATAGCCATATAGCACATCTAAAGACACACTTAGATCCAAATCTCATCTAATTAGATTTTACAATAGTGCAAAAAATATATATTATTAACATACTCTATTTATACCTACATCCACTTATTTTTAGTTATTTATATAATATGGATGTATGTAGCACACATAAAATTTTAAAAAATCAGCTCTTATTGTACCATGAAGAAGAATTATAAAAACTTGTATTTAAATTTTGAATTCTCCAATCACCTACTTTGTTAAAAAGACCTCTGTGCTTTTACTTCAGTTGGACACATCATTTATTCTTAATTTTGATTTTAACAAATTTATAACAAGTAATAATTGACAATGGTTTGATTTATGAAATTTGATCAAATTTAAAGAATTGGCCAAAGATTTTTCCAATTATAGCTCTATCTATTTACTTTGTTTTGAGATTTTATGTCCATAAGGGTTTGGATGCCTTTTTGTGTGCCTGCAAATAGCTACTTGATCTGGTTTAATGATTGTGTAAATGAGAAGTCTAATACCACTCATTATTTTTTTATCAAGTTAAATTCTTATGGTTATTAGATGATCATATGCTAGTTTTTTTTTTGAATTTTTTGAATTTTTTTTATTATATAATATGAATGATCATTTTCACCATAATGTTTAAAAACTCAATTATATATATATATATATATATATATATATATATAATTTTGTAATAAAATTAGTTTCTGAAAAAATATCTATATATCTTTTATAATGGTTTTTGTGACTCTATTTTAGATGATTAACGTTATTTTATTTTTTATTTATAACAAAATATTTCTTTATGAAAATTTTTAAATGTTCTATTAAAATAAAAAAAACTGTATATCTACTGTAAAATTCTAACAGATTTCACAAAAGTAATCTATTTTTGTGTATATAAAGAGAATATTATTGAATGTGATCTATTTCATTTGATTTTTTTTAATTTTATATCTATTTTCTTATCATACTTACTAAAAAGATAAGTTAATTATTAATTCTTTAATATTAGTCTTCAAAAACATTTTTTATAAAAATTTATCCTAGGATGTTTAAATAATTTTCTTTACTGGCTCTAAAATGTTAATTTGAAATATCTTTATTCTCTTACTTTAATAAGAAAATTATATTCATAAAAATTTATATTTTTTTTAATTGTCTAAAGAAGCCCCATGCCTTAAATACTTTATTTTTTATTATTTTATTATTTTAAGTGAAAGTTAATATTTTAAGAAAACATGAAATATAATATAATAAAAACAGTATTAAAATTATCAGAACCATCTTGAATTTCTACTAATTTGGAATGTAACTAAAATTATTTTTTCTATTCTTTATATGTTTTTATATTTTATGAAAACATTTAAACACAATCTAATGTAAAATATTTTCTTATACCATCTAATCTCTTACTGTTTAATTCTATCTGAACATATTATTTGGTGAAATTTCTACACCACTTAAAAAATTAAGGAAATTTCAGCAATAATCTATAATTAATAGTAATATATATATATATATATATATATTTATATTTATTTATCATTTTATCAAATACTTTGTAGAAATTTTTTACATTAAAAGTCTTAAAAAGATTTTATTCAAATCTAAAAAATTAATAATTATATATTCTATTTATAGAATATGTTAGATAATTACAGTAATTTCATTTTTTATTATATAATCTTATTTTATTTTCTTTATGAAATAAATTATATATTTTTATATTCAAATTTTTCTTATTTTAAATATCAAATAACATGATTGAAAAGACAAACCTCTATTCTTGCTTATGACATCTCTAGAAGTTATTACTAGATAATACAAGTCAATTTCTAATCTATATACTAGTAATAGATCTATTCCATTCGATCCATATATATATTTTTATTTCTTTCCAACTTGAATTATCTAATTTTTTTCAAGTCATAACTTATATATTTTTCTTATTTTGAAATAAAAAATCAATCTATCCTTGAATCATCGAATTATATGAATATTTACTAAAGAAATAGAATTTTTTGAAATAAAATTAGCATTTATAGTTTAAATAAGTTGAACTTCTAATAAAAAATATTATATTATATCTAATCAATAAAATTACGGCTTATATATATATATATATATATATATATATATCCTTAATACATTTTATTTTAATATTAGAAATTATACATATATATAAAGAGAGAGAGAGAG